TACTTGCTTATAGAGGTCAGAGGACAGTTTTTGGGAACTTGATTACCCAGTGAGCCCCCCAGCTGGCCTTCTACATTTTTTTTTTTTTTGAGACAGTCTTCCTCCCTCCTTCCCTCCCTCCCTTCCTTCTTTTCTCACTGCTTTCCTTTCTCCCTCCCTCCCTTCCCCTTCCCCTCCCCTCTTTTGTTTCAGACAAGGTCTTACTCTGTAGCCCAGCTATTCTCCTTTCTCTACCTCCCATACTGGGGTTATAGACATGAGCCACCATACCCAGCTTTTGTTTTCTTTTTTGAGACAGGGTCTCCCTGTGGCTCCAGCTGGCTTGGAACTCACTATGTAGACCAGATTGGGCTTGATCTCACAGAGATCTGCCTGCCTCTGCCCCCCAAGTGCAGGGATTAAAGACATGTACCATGATGCCTGGCTTTTGTTTTCTTTTTGAGGTGTCGTTTCGCATATCATAAAATCCATCCTTTTGGGCCTGGGGAAGTGACTGTGTGTAAAGCAGTTGCTGCACAAGCATGAGGACCTGTGTTTAGATCCCCAGAGCCCACATAAAGCCCGACACGGTAGAGCAGGTCTGTAATCTCAGAGCTGCTGTGGTGGAATGGAAGCTCATGGGCCACAGCAAGGCATATGCAGGGTGAAAAAGACCCTGTCTCAGCAAGGCAGAAGGCAAGGACAACCTCTGAGTTTACCCGCAGATTCCATATGCGCAAAGTGGCACATATGTGCCTGCACACACACACACACACACACACACACACACACACACACAGTTCATTCTTTTAAAGTACATAGTGTTTTATGATTTTTTGGGGGGCTTTTTCAGACAGGGTCTCTCTGTAGCCCCAGCTGGCCTGGAACTCATTATGTAGACCAGGCTGGCCTTGAACTCACAGAGATCGCCTGCCTCTGCCTCCTGAGTGCTAGGGTTAAAGGCATGCGCCACCACGCCAGGCTGTTTTATGATCTTAAAAAATATTCTTGTGTATAGTTCTGGGGACTGAACTGAGGGCTCTGCTACTGACCTACAGCCCCTTGAAGTATTTTTAAGTATATTCAACAGTTTGCAATCAGTACCATCTACTTCCAGACAATTCCATCCCCCCAAAGAAATTCCCTTCAGAAGCTACTCCTTTCTTTCTTGTACAGCTTTAAACTTCTCATTGGTCCATCAGCTACAGTCATGATCAGTTTTCTGCATTTCTGACTTCGTTGTTTTCTTGGTAGTCGGCTCCCTTCTGCTCTTATTTCATCATCTCTTTAGATTCCATCTTTGTTAATGATTTTGCCTGTTTCTCCTTTTTGATCTCACTCACTTGCCATTGTTTATCTTAGTTTGTCTCTTCCTGGTTCATGCAGTTACTGGTCTAAAGTGCCAGCATCGTGGTAGGGGCCAGTACAAAGGGTTGGTCCCATCAATGGATCAGTGGAGGTTTGGTGATCACCTGCTTTTGCTATCAGCACTTACCATCCCTGGAGTAATTCCAAAGGGCCAAGTATGGGATTCAGGTCCCTGGACCTCCGGTTCTCATGGCAACCCTGTGAAGATCTTGTCAGTTTTACTAAGGAATGAACTGTGTCAAGGCAAGTAATGTGCCTGAGATCACCTATTCAACAAACAGCAGGAGGGCTGGGTATAGTGGCACTCAACTTTAATCTCAGCATTCAGGAGGCAAAGGCAGGTGAATTCTAGGTCAGCCTCATCTACATAAAGAGTTCCAGTCAAGCCTGGTCTACTTAGTAAATTTTAGGCCAACCAGAGCTACACAATGAGGCCCCGTCTCAAAGAAAAAGGAAGAGAAGAAATTCCAGAACCAAGATTCTAGAAATTATTTTCCAGACCCGGGGAAGTGCAGAAGGAGGTGCCCGGTGAGGAGCTGTGGTTGCCAGTGGCCTGTTTCTGTTCACAGCTGGAGGGAATGAGACCGCCAAACCAATGTGATTCAATGAGGATGATAAAAACACATCGTGTATAGTCCAGGCAGGGTACTACACGCCTGTCACCCCAGTAAACAGGAGACTGAGGCAGCAGGATGTTGAGTTTGAGGGCAGCCTGGGGTACAAAGTGATACCCTGTTTCAAAAGCAAAAACAATACCCCAACAATAAAATCCCAAAGCAAACAAACAGAATCCCTCCATGATTAACTTCCAATCTGAGGACCCATCACTGAGGACACATGGAAACCGGTGTTTCATAGAAGAGAAAACATTTTACTTACCCTCAACTGAAGAATGCCCTCTTATGCCAGCAACTGCCCATGGAAACTCTTAACTGGTGCCTGGTCTCCACATGGACATCAAGAAGCAAACAAGGAGTCTCCTCTGACTGGGCAACTAGATCTCTAATAGCAACAAGATTAGCTAAGGTTTCTGCAGGGACTTTTCTAAGTACATGAACATGAGGTGTATTAGGGCTACCGTATAGAATCTCTCAATTATTAAATTCTCAGATTTTCAGTAGATAGGTATTAAACCATCACTACCTAGACTCTTCCTTGCCAGGAGTATTTGCACTGTGTAAATGGGGCAAACACTACAAACTAGGGCTCTGCGTCCCTCCAGCCAAACTGGTTAAACATATCTACACACCTCAGACTGCCCCTTGTGACTGTACATATTAATATCTTCCTTTTAACATGAGGAAGTTGAAGCAAAGAATGTTTACACCACTAGGCTAAGACAATAGAGATGTAAGAGCATCAGAGCTGATGTGTGAACGTAACGGGCTGATGGTCACCAGCCACAGCCCACAGCCATATTGACAGGGCAGATGAGGCCAAAGGAGGGTCAAGATATCTCTCTACTAGCACGGTATTACAAACAGTGTTCTTTCTTCAGTCTGGAGAGATGTAAGCATCTACGTTAGTGGCCTTGGT